ACGGCCGCGATGGAGCCACGTCACCATCAGAGCCCCAATCCCCCCCTTCTCCTCCTCCCCCTCCCCCTTCCCCTCCCTGTCCCCCCTCTCCCTGCAGCAGCCTCCTCCTACTTCTCCTGGTTGTGCCGCCGTGCCACGGTTCCTCTGGTTGCCTTTTGAGGCGCCTCAACAGCCCTCCCTGTTCCCCCTCTCCTTGTTCCGCCCCTCCCTGTTCCCCCTCCCCCAGTAGCAACCTCCTTCTCCTGGTTGGGCCGCCATGCCACGGTTCCTCCGGGTGGCAGAAGGAGCTGTTGAAGACGGTGCACCCGAACGTGATCCAGGGCCGGCCGGCGTTGTTCTGTAGCAGCTGCTGCAGCGTGGCGGGCGGCACCACCTCCACAAACTCGTCCAGGTCAGCAAACAGCAACCACTGGGCGTTGTGGCGATTCCCGTACAGACAGTCGTGCGTGGAGAGGGCCTGAGGGGATGGTGGAGTTGGGGAGTTGGTGGGTATGGGGAGGGGTAGAGAGGGGTGAGCTTGAAGCACCTCAACAAACTCGTCCAGGTCGGCAAACAGCAGCCACTGCGCCTCATGTCGGTTCCCGTACAGGCAGTCGTGGGTTGAGAGGGCCTGAGGGGATGGTGGGGGATGGGGATGGTGGGGAACAAAGGAGTGGAGGGTGCATAGCTATGCAAACAGCAGCCACTGGGCCTCCCGGCGGTTCCCGTACAGGCAGTCGTGGGTTGAGAGGGCCTGAGGAGGAGTTGGTGGGGGTGGGGAGGGATAGAGAGGGGTGTGCATCCAGCAGGCAAACAGCAACCACTGGGCGTTGTGGCGATTCCCGTACAGGGGGAAGGGTAGAGAGAGGTGTGAGTTAACAGGGCAAAGAGCGGCCAGTGTGTCTTGTGGCGGTTCCTGTACAGACAGTCGTGCGTTGAGAGAGCCTGGAGGGTGGTGGCGGATGGGGAGGGAAGGGTAGAGAGAGGTGTGAGTTAACAGGGCAAAGAGCGGCCAGTGTGTCTTGTGGCGGTTCCTGTACAGACAGTCGTGCGTGGAGAGGGCCTGGGAAATGGTGATGGGTGGAGAGGGATAGAAAGGAGGGGTGTGAGTCAAGTAGGCAAAGAGCAGCCATGAGTCATTCTGGGCATCCAAACTGAAACACCGCACCTGAGCGTATGACCACACGTCGTACTGTGTCGACTCCTCGAAATTCACCACCTCCACCACCCCCGCCCGCACCCACGGCTGCACGGCACTGCTGACGTCAGCGTGGCCGGCAACGGCGCCCACGTCGTAAAGGACAAAACGGTCCACTGGCAGCAGCAGGCGGTGGAAGTGCAGCCACTCGGTGAGCGCCCTGGCGCTGATGACATTGAACATCGGCCGGCCGCACAGGACGATGTTGGCAGGAAAAGACGACGGGTCCTCCATGGGCTGTGGCGTGTGCACATGGGGGAAGGAGGGGAAGAAAGGGCAGGTTGAATGGGGCAGCAGCAGACGGTGGAAGTGCAGCCACCGGGTGAGCTGGGAGTGCGGGTAGAGGGGTTGGGACAGCAGCAGGCGGTGGAAGTGCAGCCACTCGGTGAGCGCCCGCGGGCTGATGACATTAAACATGGGCGGGCCGCACAGAACGATGTTGTTGGGGAATGTTGAGGGGTCTTCCATGGGCTGTGACGTGAGCATATGGAGGAAGGAGGGGAAAGAAGGGCAGGTTGAAAGGGGCAGCAGCAGGCGGTGCAAGTGCAGCCACTCGGTGAGCGCTCTGGGACTAATGACATTGAACATGGGCGGCCCACACAGAACGATGTTGGCTGGGAAGGTTGACGGGTCTTCCATGGGTTGTTGAGTAGGATCGGGAGAATGAAGCAGGGGGGACGAAGGACAGGAATGGGAGTCATAACACAAAGCGGAGTGAGGGGGAGTGAGGGCGGAAGTGCAGGCACTTGGAGAGCTGGCGGTAGCGGGGATGGGGCAGTGAGGCAGCAGCAGGCGGTGCAAGTGCAGCCACTCGGTGAGCGCCCTGGGACTGATGGCCTTAGAGCTGACTTTGAGTCAACTCAAAAGTCAGCTCGGAGAGCGCCCGCAGGCTGATGGCATTAAACATGGGCGGGCCGCAGAGAACGATGTTGGCTGGGAAGGTTGATGGGTCTTCCATGGGCTGTGGCGTGGGAGAGGGAGGGAGCATGCAGCAGGTGGGGGGGCCCATGGGGGGAGGAGAGAGAGAGTGAGGCAGGTTGTTGGGGGAGGAGAGGGTGGAAGTGCAGCCACCGGGTGATCTGGGAGTGCGAGTAGAGGGGTTGGGACAGCAGCAGGTGGTGGAAGTGCAGCCACTTGGTAAGCGCCCGCGGGCTGATGACACCAAGCATGGGCGGGCTGTAGAGGACGAGATTTGTTGGGGAAGGTTGATGGGCCTTCCATGGGCTGTGAGAGGGTACAAGAGAGGGAGCATGGGAGATTGTGAAAAGGGGGAGTGGGTGGAAGCACAGACACCTAGGGCTGATAGAGCCGAACATGGGCGGCCGAACATGGGCGGGCAGAACATGGGCGGCCGAACATGGGCGGGCCGCAGAGAACAATGTTGGCTGGGAAGGTTGAGGGGGTTTTCCATGGGCTGTGCAGCGGAAGAAAGGAAGGGTGGGTGGGTACATTCTGGGGGGGGAAGTGCCAGAAAGGAAGGCAGAGAGAAGCGCGAGAGTAAGCCCCCACCTACACACACACCTCCGCACCTACCATCACCTGTCCACACCTCCTCCGATGGCTCCACAAAGGGGAAGAGCAAGCACCTCCCCTCCCCATTCATCTATGCCTTCAGCGCGCCCCCTGACGCTTGAGAGAGCATGCCTGCTCTCAACCCAAGCAAGGCAGGGGATAACTGCACCTGCCAGCACCTACCCCAACCTACCCCAACCCATCCTCACCCATCCTCACCCATCCTCACCTGCCCCGGCTGCTCCACGTAGGGGAAGAGCACCTCCCCATCGATCTCAGCCTCCAACACTCCCCCTGAGACTTGGGAAGGGGCGTCCAGCACACACAGCAGCACCACGGTCTCGTACTGCCAGCAGGGGGGACACACGGGGAGGGAGGAGAGGGCGTTTGTTTGCTGAGCTCCATCTTCCAGCCTAAATGCTTGTGTCACGTTTAGCAGTTGTCAAGGTCAAACAGGTGGGCTGCGGAGGCCTTATTTCCATCAACTCTTGTTGTTTAGGACAGAGAAACAAACCCCATTTGATGATGGCGGAAAGGAGCCTGGTGTCGCGCTAGCTAGGAGCGTTTTTTTAGAGAGCCAGTTTGCTGAGCTCCTTTTTGCAGCCTAAATGCTTGTGTCACGTCCAGCACACACAGGGCCCCACAATGTTTCACAATGTAGTGGAGAGGGCAGGGGAGAGTGTGGGGAAGGAAGTTTGAGGGAGAAGCCGAAGAAAGTTGTACCAGGTAGTCGTGATGCTCCTCCACATAAAGTGGCACAAGCTTGCCTTCGGTCACACCCGCACCACCATTGCTAACTCCACCCCCACCACTGCTACCTCCCTCATTGTCAACCCCAGCAGCAGCACCAACAGAAAGCATGAGAGGTTTACCAGGTAATCATGATGCTCGCACCACCTTGCCTTGACTTTTGAGTCGACTCAAAAGCAGGACGGGAGAGAGCAAGGAGAGTCGTACCAGGTAGTCATGATGCTCCTCCACATACAGCGGCACCAGCTTGCCTTCAGTCACACCCCCACCACCACCGCTAACTCCCCCATTGCCAGCAGCAGCAGCAGCAGCAGCATGCCAGCGGCAGGAGGAGAACCGGCGGCCGTGGTGCATGGGGAGGGACGACAGGCCCAGCACTGCCAACGTGGATGCATTCACTCGATAGGCGCTGGGGATGGGAAGGACGGGTGTGAGTGGGGCCAGGGGAAGGATGCAGGAGGAGGTGGGGGTGGTAGGTGATGGTGTTAGGCTGTTGCAACAATCCATACATATTGTGGCAGATTGCTAGAATCAAGAACAACAAGAAATTCGAAATTTTGAGGCGACCGAACGAAACCGAATCAATACATGCGGTTGTGTGTGACCCTACTCATCGAGACGTTCAACAAATCGGAATCTTCTCCCATAGCATTGCATCATCCGTACATCCAGAATCCCTCAATGCAAGTTGTACTCCTAAATTTGATGAGTACAACAAATGCGGAGTCCATCCATCCATCAAGTCCACCCACCCATCCCCTTGTGCCACTGCTTCTAGATCTTCTCCCACTTTCCCCTCCTTCCTCTCACCTGAACTTGATGAATCCGAACGACCCGTGGTGCTGGAATGGTTGTTGCTTCCCGAGAGGGCAGGGAAAGCGGGCAGCTGATGAGGACAGACAAACCATTCAGAACATGCACGCCCAGCCCCCTCCTTCCTCTCACCTGAACTTGATGAAACCAAACGACCCGTGGCGTTGAAAGGCCCGTTGCTGCCAGAGAGCAGGCCTGTCGTCCGTCACCCAGAAGTGCTTCAACGCCCCATGCCGCCCCTTCTGCCACTGCTCTGGCTGCACCACCTCCCCCTCCTCGTCGCCCTCCTTATCCCCCTCCTCACCCAAGGGGACACTACCCTTGCTGTCCCTCTGCTGCTCCTCGTTGCTTCCAGAGGCTTCCTGAGTTCTTGCAAGGGAAGGAAAAAGGGCACGATGTGCTTTATATAGGCGCCTCAACAGCAGAGACCCAATTTTTTGGAAGAAAGATCTTCCTGCAAAAAATTTGGGTCTCTGCTGAGTCGTATGAAGGGATGCAAGGGGAAAAAGCTTGAGTCGTATGAACGGATGCAAGAAGAAAAGGCTATTTATATAGGGATGCAAGGGGAAAAAGCTACTTATATAGGGATGCAAGGGGAAAAAGCTTGAGTCGTAAGAATTCTACAAGATTTCTTTGAAAAGGGTGGATGGAATCCCCACCACTCTTGCTCAACCCATCTCAACCCACCTGCACCGCTCGCACTTGCGCCTCCAGCTTCCTCGCGTGCTGCCCGACAATCTCTTTCAGCTGCCCGACGTCCTGGCTCATGGCTTTCAGCCTGCCCTGCTCGCGCCGCCACCAGTCCGCCACGTCAGCAGCAGCCCGCGCACTGTCCTGCTTCGTCTGCAGCATCGCTAACCCCATCTTCTCCAGCCCCTCTGTCACCTGCCCCTTCAGCTCCTTCCTGCTCTGCTCCAGAAGCTCTGGGAGAACAGGGAAGGGGCATTACAGGGACAGAAGGAGGATAAGTTGTGGGAGGTGGGTCACTTTCCTGCTCCGTCTGGCTGTCTGCAGGATTTCTAACCCCATCTTCTCCACCACCTCCGCCACCTGCTCTGCTCCAACGATTCTATGACGGGGATAAGATTGGGAGGGGCAGCAGATGGGGAGGGAGAAAGGATGGTTGTTGCAGCTGCTACCTCCTCTGCAGCATCTCTAACCCCAATTCTCCACCCCCTTTGTCACCTGCTCGTTTAATTCTCTCCTGCTCTGCTCCAGCAACCCAGGGAGGAGGAGAGAAGGACAAGTACAGTGCAAGTAAAATTACATGTACACTTACATGTGCATGACAAGTACAGTACAAGAACAGTACATGTACACTACATGTACATGGCAAATACAGTATAATCACACCACAAGTAAATGACAAGCAGACTCACTGTGCAAGAAGACGACGTCACTGGCTGGGCTGTGTGGGCCAGCAGCGTTCGGTAGTTGAATTGATGCGCCCTGCTCTGATGGGTGATTCCATGCATGCACGTATCCACTACAATGCAATACAAGCATACACAAGTACACGACATGTACACTCACTGTGCAATGACAGGACGTCACTGGCTGTGTGGGCCAGCAGTGTTCGGTAGTTGAATTGATGAGCCCTGCTCTGATGGATCCGTGCATGCATGCATGCACATGCACATGCACATGCAAGCACATGCAACAGGCAGCGAGGGGCACACGCAGAAGGACGGCAAAGGAGAGGAGAACTCAAGAAGCACTCCACTCCCCTCGCTCCACTCACTTCCCTTAGTCTTCTCACCCCCCCACTCACCACCTGAACCTGAATGCAACCAGAAGGCACCTGAAACACCTGAAGGCACCTGGCTGTCCTGCTGTAACCTGAACACTCGGTCTCACCTTGGTTGATTTGCTGCCGACAAAGTCATCCTGCGGTAACCGCATGGGGCCCAGCTCTGGTAACCACATCAGGTACAGCTGGCGCAGCGGGAGGGGCGAAAGAAGGAGCAGGAGACAGGTGGGAAGAATATGAATTGGTTTTTGGTATTATTTGAGTCACTTTTGAGAGATTCTCAAGATTCTGAAAAGAGAGGGAGGAGCGAAGGCATGGGAAGGGAGGAGAAAAGGCATGGGGGGAAGGGAGGGAGGACGGGAAGGGAGGGAGGAAGAGGGGGAGAAGGAAGCACGCACGTTAATTCCGTGGCGCAAATGGGGCAGGGTGGGCGATCGGGAGAGTAGAGGGGCGCACCTGGAGAGTGGAGAGGGCGAGGAAGGGCAGCATGAGGCACAGGTAGTTCACTGCCTGCATGGGGGCAACAGAAGGGAGGAAGAGGGGAGAGCGGAGGAAGGATGTGCAGCGTGAAGGGAGAAAGAGAGGAGAGGAGAGAACAGCCTTCCTGTGATGCAATATTTCCTCACGCACTTACCATATGCCTTATCTCCCCCTTCTTTTCCTTATCACCCCTCCCTCCCATCTCGCCTCTCCCTTTCCCCCATTTCCCCCAGACCCTTTTCTACCTTCGCCTTTTACCCCTCCCTTCTTTCCCCACCCCATTTCCCCCTGCCCACCGCATGTCGGGGCAACAGTCCGCCAGACGCGCGCGGACTTCCAGCGCCGCGGGAGACGCCCTTGGGGCTCGACGCTTGCCCCCCCGCGCCTTCCCCCGACCCTACCGAGTCCCCCGCGCGGTTGCCAGCGTTAACGACGGCAGAGATTCCGCCGTTAATTGCGGCGCCTGCTGCGCCCAGCGCTACCGCCGCCATCTTGACGCTCCCGGCCAAAGTCCGCGCGCCTGCGCCGGGGCGGGGCATGGCGGACGACGCCATGCGCGCATCCACAGCGGGACCCGCCGCAGGGTGGTGACGCACCGGCGACAAACGCGGCTGCTTGGTGACACACCGACGATCGCGGTATAGTTGGGCTCGAGAGCGGAAGTGTTGGATTGTAATCTACGCGACGCGAGAGTATATGCACAGTTTTAGCAATGTGGCCAGGATGAACGATAGAGAGACATGCCAGGAATGGCAGTTGCCGCAACCTGCTAGTAGTAGTACGACCGCTGGTGCGACTCCTAGATGATAGCGGAATTCCACGAGCGGATAAATAGAATGCTTTGATCAGTTGTGCTGGGGCTGGAAGCAGGCATTTCCAATCTTCCCTCGGTCCTACCGCCTTCGTAGTTTCTGGCGCTGATGGTCTCGCGACTCGCACCTAACACAACATTGGGCCTCTTTGTGGCGAGTTATACTCGTTATCAACCTCTCACCTGATTAACTGCCATAGGTTGAAGATGTGCTGTAATGTATACGTGTACACTCAGAATCCCTGACATGGTTATGCCGCCGTTATTATTTCCGTTGTTCTGAACCTGGGCCACGCTGCGATCGGTGATTTGCTGAGAGCTGGCTCACGTAATTTACTGACAAACCTGACGTGCTTCACGACAGAGAATGCCAATCGCCTAAAGTTTTCAAATCCCAGAACGCACTGGAAATCGTTCCCGCTAAATTCTAGGTGTTCGGTCAGAGCTGACAAAAGAAAGCATTGGGAAATGTTTCGGTCAATTCGAACTGCGATCCAATCTTCGCAGTGCGTGTTTGCAAATGCGATCTTTTCGGGCAGAATTATGCGGCTGCCCGTGTTTAGGGTTGGGGCTCCCCGTGTTTAGGGTTGGGGCTCCCCTAATCGCATGCCATCCAGATGGGGTTTATTTTTTTCTGACCGCGAGCAGATAACAACCCCTCAGCTTCTTCCACTGACTAGGCGAACCGCCTGCGAACCGCGCTGACTACATTGGATTGCAGCTGAAGTTGTCCCGAAATGTTTCGAGACCGCACACGCCAATCTCATTAGTCAAGCAAAAGTCGAGGTGAGCAAACGTCAAGGTCGGTTGTGCATTCCGATGCCGCGCCGCGCATTGTGTGACATCGCACGACCGAATCGTCTAGTCAACTGTCGCATGTGTGGGCACTTCCCACAGTTCGGGGAATTGGCGTGTGTACGATTTGACAGAAAGTGAGCGAGCGAGCGACTGATGCGAAACTCGTGGCCAGGTCAAATGTACACCTGTACGATTGCTGTGGTCGTTTGCGTTGCGAGCGACGATCCATTCATCCGTCTCATGGTCGTCGTCAACAGCGTCGCAAATCACGAAAACAACTATTCCAACGCGACACGCTTCTCCTTGCCCCATGACCAACACGTTTCCGAGCGTTCGTTATCTCTCGGCATTCCATTGAACCGTTCATAATAGCAAAGCTGCCAATTTGAATCTCTTTCGAACCCGTCTAAACCTTTGTGAAGTCAAATCTGTCCTAGAAAGCATCACCACATACCTACCACAGTTTTTGGCATCGACGAATGATTCCCTCCCTCGGAGGGATGATCCCTACGATCAGCCTCTGCAACGTAGGCCACGGGAAGCTCTCAGCAGAATGAAAAGCTGTGAGAACTATGCTGCTTGTGCAGAGAGAATCTTTTTCTGGCAAGGACCCTCGTGCTCATGGTAAGTGACGTTCCGCCCTAGTCTCGCACTGTAGTAAGTAGTAGTATATGTAGAAACCGATTACCTTTACGATTGCCTGCAGGACCTCCCGCATCCCTGGCTCACCCCTATCCGTGGTGGGTCCTTGCCGTCAGATGCGTTCTTCGTCTCCTTGTAGACTCGCGGCGAGAACCGCGGTATCAGATAGTTCTCCCATGCTCGTCCACTTTTGACGCGCTTCGAAAGGCTCGCGGCGATGGCATCAGACAGAACTCCCGTGGGAGTCCAGCGAAGCGTTACGGAAAGCTCCCTGGCGGAGCGCCGCCGCAATCGAGTCGGTCGCATTACTCCTCTCGCCGTCCCCAAGCCGTGCAGCTTTGACGAGATTAATAGTATTACCTCCGTCAATGGTGCGCCGGATTACGCGGCAGAGTTAGCATCGACTTCATCGTCAGCCTCCCGTGGCTTTCCGCCGTACCGCTTTGGCGATACTTCCTTCACGCGGCGCAGATCGCAAGTTTGTCTTGAATCGCCCGCCTCCTGCGTTCATCAAGATTCCAGAATCGATCGCAATTTTCCACCACTGCGCGAAACCCCCGTTCATTGCCACCCGAGTAGCAATAGTAGCAGTTACCTGCCTTCTTTCACCGACTCGATCGACTCCTATGCGCCTCCGCCTCCGCCTCCGCTCCCATGGAATCTCTCCGCGCTTGTCAGTCCGCGCATGCCTCCCCCGCCCGCGTGGCGCAGCTCCCGCGCATTCTCATCCAGCCCGCTTACGCCGTCGGAAACTTTCGGCGGCGGCGTAGGGGGAACCGGCGGCGCTGTGGCGCACGTTCTCCCGATGTGGCCCCCCGCGTACCCGCAAGGGGTCCACCCGCGGCCGCAACTGCACCCGACGCGCGCGCAAGAACACGTGCACGCGCATTCGCAGCCGCAGCAGCGCCCAGCTCCGCCGCGCGCACGCCCTCCGCAGATCACGGTGGAGGAGCTGGCGGCGCAGCGCTTTCTGGCAGGGCTAGGGGGAGCGGAAGCCGCGGTGGCGGAGTCTCTCGCGCAACACCGCCATCCGCGCAGCACTCGCGCAGATCGCCCTAGTCCCAAAGGCGGGAATCCGATAGGGCTGCCGGCGAGCCGCCATGGTAACGATAAATCAAGGAGCGGCGGGTTTCAAGGGGCGGAAACACGGGGGAGTCGCACGGTGCCATGCGACGGGTACTCGCCAGTAGATCGAGGGACGCTCGCGCGGTCCGGGGAGTGTTTAAATCAGGCCCACGAAAACCCCCGTAATCCAGATCTGTGCGATCTTGATCCTCCCTATAGTGATCCTCGCTATAGTGATCCTAGCCGGAGGCTGCAGAGGCACCAGACGTGGAGTTGTGCGGACGACCGTCGCGCGAGGAGGGGGGGATGGCGGAACGTGCCCGCGGAGCTCAGGGGGGGGAGCGGACACGCGGCGGAGCCCAGGTCGGCCGAACACGCGGCGGAGCCCATGGGGGGGAGCGGACGCGCGGCGGAGCAGAGTGGACGACACGTGGGAAACGCGCGCGAATGGGCGGCGCGCGGCGGGTTAAAGGTGGACACGTCGGTGACGGCTTTCGAGGCGCCTCGAGAATCGCATGTGACGGAGGACACGGTGTCGGCGCTGCGCGGAAGTATCGAGACGAGCAGCTGGGAAGGTACGCGTGCGAGTCTTAACGCTCGCTGCGCCCGGGTCTTTCTAAGAAATAGGTTATTTTTCTTTTTTGAGGCTGTGGGGGAGGGGGTGAGGATCAGCGGAACGGGGTAGTACTGAGGCTGGGGGAAGCGCACCGTGTGTGTCCCCCAAACCGCTCCTTTCGCTCACGCTCCCTTCTCTCCGTTTCACGCCGCCCATTTCCCTCCCTTCGCAGAGGTAGAAGCGAGGTGCCGCCAGCTATCACACGCCAACGTGGACATAACCGCCATGGACCTCACATGCCCTTCTCACTCTCCTCTTGCACCCTTCCACCCTCCCGTTGTCTCGGGCCGTGCGCAGAGGTGGAAGCGCGGTGCAGGCAGCTCTCCCACGCCAACGTGGACATCACCGCCATGGACCTCACGCACCTGCCGCCCTCTCCCGCCCCCACTCCCGCTGCCGCCAATCGCTTCTCACGCCCTCTCCCCCTCCTCTCCCCTTCCGCCGCCTCTGCCGCCGCCTCCGCCGCGGCCTCTGCGTTCAAATCCGTGTCACGCGCTGCCCTCGCCATCACATCCCCTCGCTCTGACCCCCGTCCAGGCCTCCCCCTGCCTAGTCCCAGAGGTATACTGAACCTGCCTAGTCCGAGAAGTCTTTTGAGTCTGCCTAGCCCCAGGGGTGTTCTCAGTCTCGCCTCCCCTGGATCTACCCGCAGTAAGCAGCGCCAGCAGTGGCCGCAGCGGGAAGCGGAGGCGATTGAGGAAGCCGAGGCGGTTGAGGAAGGGGAAGCGATTGAGGAGGGGTGGGAGCAGGATGCAGAGCGGGGTGGCAGGGCGCAGCAGCAGATGCAACAATGCCTGGGAATCGGGGAGTGGCAGCAACAGGAGCAAGAAGAGGAGGAGGAGGAAGAGGAGGAGGAGGGAGAGGAGCAGCAGCAGCAGCAGCAGCAGCCACAGCAGCAGTCACGGCAGCAGACAAGCGAGGAGAAGCAGCAGCAGCTGGCAGAGGCAGAGAAACAGCAGCAGTCGACGAGGGAGCAGCAGGGCAGCTCCAGCCCTCCGATGCGATCTCTGTGCCCCTCGTGCCTGCCCGCCCTGCCCTCCTCCTCCTGCTACCCGCTATCCCTTCCATCCCGCCGCCGACCTTCCACTGCACGCAGGGCGGAAGCACAGGCAGGGGTATCAGCGCCCAAGGCACAGGCACGTGCCAGGGAAAAAGTGAAGGCAGAGGCAAGGGCAGAAGCAAGGGCAGAGACAAGGGCAGAGGCGGGGGTAGATGCAAGGGCAGAGGCGGGAGTAGATGCGAGGGCAGAGGTGGGGGTAGATGCGAGGGTAGAGGTGCAGGAGGCTGCTACCATGGGGCAGGCGGGAAACAGAAGTGCTGGCGAATGCTTTTGCAACAACTGCTGCCACCACAGCGGCAGCTCTGACCGTGGTGTGGGGAGTGGTGAACTGATGGGTGCGAGGATGAGTGGGAGGAGGAGCAGGGCGGAGGTGACAAGCTGGAGTGGGGAGATCGGAGTGTGGGGCAGGATCAAGGGTACTGCTCGAAGGTCTGGTAACCTGGACCTCGCTATAAGCAGACTCAGGGAGTTGGCGTTTGCGCATGGTTACTGCCATGAGGGAGTGCAGGAGAGGGATGGGGGTTATATGGGAGCGTGCATGCGCAGCAGTGGGAACGCGGTCAGGAATGGGAGCGTAAGTAGCAGTGGGAGCAGCAGCATGCGCAGTCGCAGCAGCAAGAGCAGCCATTGGAGCATGAGTAGCAATGGGAACAAGAGCAGCGGCGGTGTTAGAAGGAAGGAGGGAGTGCAGCAGCGAGAGCGGGCGCTTGAAGGGGGAGGCTCTTTGGAATCGCTCGACTCGCTGGGGTTTCCCTCAGTGCGCGTGGCCGACTGTGCCAGCCCGCACGGGCTTGCAGTTTCCATGTTGAAGCAGGACGGGAGGGATGGGCAGGATGGGCTGAAGGGGGACAGGAGAGAGGGTGAGGAGGGCAGAGGAGGCAAGCTGGTGGAGGGGCAAGGGGAGGAGCAAGTGCGGCGTGTGCTGTCTTTTACCGAGGGTACTGTCCAAGAGAAGAGGTCAGGTGGCTCTGCCTGTTGTCATCGCACTGCTGCTGCCGCCGCTGCTGCCGCCACTGCCGCCGCTGCCGCAGCTGCTGCTGCCGCCGCCCCACCTCAAACACGCCGCCCCTGCTCCTCCATCTCCTCCTCTGGTCAACTCACCTCTGCCACGTCATCAACCCTATCATTCCGCCAGCTCAGCATCACACCGCTCTCGCTCTCCTCACCAGCTAGCTCCATCCCCAGAGGCTCTCACCACCTCGTACACACCACCCATCTCGCCTACCCCGACCATCAGGACTGCTCCGAGGAGTATCTTGAAAGTCCCATCTGCCCTGACTGCCCTGAGTTTATTGATTGCCCTGACTTCCCTGACTGTTTCGACTACCCCGAACCCCCTTTCTCTGTGCGCTCCACGCGCTCGCTGCCGGCCGCACACTCTTCAACCACTGCTATCACGACTGTCGCTCCAGGGCCGGCCTACAGCTGCTCTCGCTCCAGGACCATCAGGGCTGCAGGCCTCCCCCCTGTCGATATTTGAGTCGACTAGAAAATCACCTTCTAACTGCCCTCCCTGCACGCTTCAACTGCTGCTACCAGGTCCGAGCTTCAGCTTCCGTCGGGTAAGACTATCAGGGCTGCAGGCCTTCCTCCTGTAGAGTCAATCAGGCCAACTTAGCATCCCACGGATGGTGTAGCTGCACTAGTTGCAGCCACTAGTAGCGACCATATATAGGAATATATAGGCCATTAGTGGTGGATTTGGAGGCAATCAGTCGTTGGATTGGATCAGCCGTCAGCTTTGGGTTGAATGCTGTTTGGCGCTCTGCGCCGGTTGGTGTTACTCTTAGAGGTATGAGTTGGCATAAACAAGCTGGAGTGGGTGAAGGGTTGATGTGAGTGAATAACATTTATCCGTGCTATTGAAATATGAAAGTAACCGAACTTAGTTACTTGGCATCTGTGTCCTGTGAAGGGTATGCTAATAACAACATTCTTCTAAGTTTCACGTTCGACGGTGCGAGTATCATTCCCGACCCGACTCGCTCTCGCCCTACCATTTCAGTCGACTTGTTCCAGCGATGCATGACAGCTCAACCGCATCTGTAGCTACATCACCTCGATGCAGCGCCTTTCACTGAGTTCCCTCCACGTTTTCACCCTCCTCATTGCACTCCCCGTGTTTTCCGTTTGCGCTGGTGCCAGCGCGGCTTCTGTCACCGACAATTCTGACGGCCAACGAGACGGCTGCACGTGCTACCATGTGCGAAACGACTTTTGCTGTCAGGCCGGCCAGGTCCTCTGCTCCTGCCGGTCCGTCTGTTTTAACGGCGAGGCGTTCACCGGAGTCAGCTATGCTCCGTGCATTCAGCCAACGGACGGCTCAGATTCTCTCCTTGATGACCACGCGACCAGAGCCGTTGATTCGCTCATTCCCATTGGCTGCATGGACGGCCGCGGTAGATCGTACAAGGCCGCGCTACGGCTTATAACGAAGGATAACATGCAGCTGCTCACGGAACGGGGGAGAACCAGACGGAGAAAGCGGCGGAGGGGGAGGGGGAAGGGTGGCGACGAACAGGAAGACGACACGTGGCAGGAGGGAACTTCGGCGTTTTTGTTCTTAGACGACTCGGAAGGGAACATCGCGCATTTTGTGCGAAAAGCACATAATCTCCTGCTGCTTCTAAACTCAACCTCGTTCTCTTCCTCCTCCTCTTCCTCCTCCCCATCCCTGAGCCGCTCCCCTCTGCTTCTCCCCACCCAAAGACTAGTACTGATTAGATCTGCTGCGTTCAAACGGGTGGCAAGGGCGTATGGAGAACATGGGCTGCATGCTCAGCTGTTGGATGGCATTATTCGTCTGCTAGTGGATTCAGGGAGCATCAGTAGCGCTGGGAAGAGTGGGGGCTTATCTAGAGGGAAAATGGACGGTGGGATGAAGCCTGCAGATTTTCTTGATGAGAGATCAACGGTGGCGATGGGAGGGGCGGTGAAGTTTGAAGGGTTCCTTGGGAATGCCACGAGGGAGCGACCTGTGTGCTTCGCCAATGCACTGTTCACCGGCAATCTCAAGGTGCACTGAGAATGAGTTTGGAGGCACTTCAAGCATCCAGTTACAATTGCTCGCATGAAGGAGCATAAAGAGGCAGCAGCTTTATATACCAACTGCTGTTCCTCTCTTTCTCCTCTTCTCAACCGATGCTCACTACCTCCCCTCCCTTTCCCACTCCCCCTTCCCCTCCCCTTGTCTCTCGGCCAGGCATCGGCCTATCCAGGCACTCTCCCCCTGCTGCCCGCCCACCTGCACTCCTATCTCCGCCACACCCTGCCACCACCCAACCACCTCCCCCCCACCCTCAATTTCACCCCTACAGACCCCTCTTCCGCCTCCTCTCCCCTTTCCTCCTCCTCCTCCCCCTCCTCTTCCACCTCCCGCCCCCCCTCTCTCCCCCGACTCCTCTACATTCGTCGCACGGTCGGCACCAACAACAGCGCCAGCAGCCACTCAGCCCGGCGAGCGTTCGACCAATCAAGCGAGGCCGCCTTCCAGTCCCTCCTCGCCTCGCTGCCAGGTGTCACCGTGCAAGTGGCTGACTTCGCCAGGCTGTCATTCGCGGAGCAGTTTGCCTTAGTACAGGGGGCGGACATCATTGTAGGGTTGCACGGCGCTGGTCTCACACTCGCTTCGGCGTTCAATCACGCACCCTCCTCTGCTGCTGCTGCTGCCTCTGCCACTGCCGCCGCCGCCGCTGCTGCTGCGACTGCAACTGCAACTGCTGCCCACAGTACTAAAAGTGACGCCTCCCCCCCGCGCCCCACGGTACCAGTGGTGGTGGAGATTCAGCCGTACAAGGTGCAGCACATTATATTCGAGGGCATGTCCACGTCAGCAGGCGCGCTCTACTTGCTGCACCAGTGCCACCGCGGCCCCACCGACCAACCAGGCGACGCCACGTTTGCACACGTCAGCAGGGAGGCGTGCCGGCGGCGCCTCGAGTGCCGGGACCACTTTGTCCAGTCGCGATTCGTGGAGCTGACTCAGCGCGACGTGGCGTCGCTTCGACGGTTGCTGGAGCTGGCACGGGATTTTGTGACTGAGGGGCTGCGAGCAGCAGAGGCGGTTGCAGGGGAAGGAATGGCACGCACAGGGAAAGGAGTCAATGGCAATGGCAATGCCAAGGGCAGTGAGAGGAGGGCTCTGCACTCGATAGCTCTGCACCCCCCACCAGACACAGCAAGCAAGAATGATTCTCCCAGACGTGGTGAGGCCAAGGGACGGTCTTGGGGCTTCTGGGGTTTCCTGATGGGTGGAGGAGATGGGGGAAGGGAGACAGCAGCGCAGGGCACACAGCAGGGTGCAGAACAGGGCGCGGGTGAAGGTGACGGTTTAGTGGCAGATGCAGTGGGTGGGAGCGAGAGGCTAGGGCAACAAGTAGGCGGGAGTAGAGCAGGGCACACAGCTGATGCACTGTGGGCTGGTATTAGGCAGGGCATGCAGGGAGGTGGGAAGGGAGGAGGAAGGGAGGGAGGAGGAGATGAAAGAGGTAGAAAGGAGGGAGGAGGAAGTGAGAGAAGGGAAAATGAGAGAAAGGGAAGAGATCACATGGCAGGGGTAGCTCAAAGAGCACAAGCAGCGCTGCTTGTGCAATCAGCACAAACACCAGCGGCAGCAGAAGCAGCACAAGCAGCAAGAGCAGCACAAGCAGCACAGATATCATGGGTGAGGGGGTGGATGGAGAGGCAGTGTGGCGAGTGGATGAGTGAGACGGACAACAACTGCCGTGTGGAGGCTGTGCGATCGCCCCATGTGCGCCCGGGGGAGAGGTGTGTTCTTGCTGCTGATGACTGCTGACGGCTGCTAACCGCAAGCAGCACAAACACGAGTGGCAGCAGCAGCAGGAAAAGCAACTGGAGTGGATTGAGTGAGACGGACAACAATTGCCGTGTGGAGGCTGTGCGATCGCCCTATGTGCTCCCGGGAGAGAGGTGTGTTCTCGCTGCTGACGACTGTTAACCTGCTCATGTCTGTTGGCATTTGCTGGCTTCTGCTGCTGATGCCTCTCGGAATGGCTGCTGGCGATTACGCAAGAATTTCCTTAGATTCATCAGTTTGCAATACGAACCAGGCTCGAGTGCTACCGGCGCTTCCCAGCAGCTTAAAACTCATCATGTAGGCAATGATAGTAACGACCAAGGACATGCCATGCAAGCTACAACCATATGCCCGTCCAAGGCTTCTGTGTAAAGCATTTACGGTACCATATATGAAATCTATAAAGCATAGAACTTCAACCAGCAGCACTCCTTTTTCAAGATAGCTTCCTTGTGGCACTAGCACTACCATCCAAACACAGACACCAACAGCACCAGTAGAAAAGCAACAGCAAGCTAGGCAAAATAGAATAGATTGCCACAGCTGTCAGACATTGTCCCATAATCGCCCTCCCTCCCCCCCTCTTGCTCTTTACCGCCGGTCGGTCTTCCCAGCACCTCTCTTCCCGGAAAACAAATGCTTGGGGCGCACGTTCACAATCGTGCGGTCCGCCTCGCCCTTCCTGCTCTGCACATTCCTCTTCTTCGCGTGCTTCCTTGCCAGCTGAATCGCGCCCACCTTCTGCTCCGTATCCCGGAACCCTTCCCCAGGCACCGCCTCCGCAGCCAGCGCCGCCGCCGTCCCGCCTATCCTCCCCACCGACTGCGACCGAGACCGCGACATGTGCCGGATCCTTTTCCGCAACCTCTCTTCGTTCCCCTCATCCACCTCCATCCCTCCCTCCTCCCCTTCCTCTCTCCCCTCCCTCCCCTCCCGCTTCCCTTCCCGGCCCCGCGAAACGCCCCGCCTCCCCCTCCCCTCCTCCCCATCCACCTCCATCCCATCTCGCGCCATCGACCTACTCCTCTTCCTCCCTTTCGCCACCGTGCCACCACCACTAACATCCCCACCTTCTCCCGTCTTGCCGGCTTTGATGCGCGCGAGGGCAGCGGCGGGGTCGAGCCCGATGGAGGAGAGCTCCTGCCGCATGCGCTCCGCCGTGAACTGTCGCCCTGTGTCCGCGTGGCGCGGCAGGATTGGCCGGCTGTCGGTGACGCTGCGCTGGCGATGGCGATGCGTTATCAGCCGCTTCTTCTTCAGCCTATATGGGAGGAAGGGGTGTGGGGACGGGAGCACGGAGCAGGGAAGCAGTGGGTGGGAGGGCAGAGGGGGCGGGGGGGGGGTTCAGTGAGCGTGAGAGTAGGTAGGGGACGAAAGCAGCGGAGGGGTCGAGCCCGATGGAGGAGAGCTCCTGCCGCATGCGCTCCGCTGTGAACTGCCGCCCCGTGTCCGCATGGCGCGGCAGGATTGGCCGGGAATCCGTCACGCTGCGCTGGCGGTGGCGGTGCGTGATGAGGCGTTTCTTTTTCAGCCTGAAAAAGTGGGACGGGGGGGAGAGAAGGGGCGCACGGCGCAGGGAGCAGGGAGTACGTAAGTGAGTGGGAGGGCAGAGCAGGCGTGAGGGGTATACGAGGGTCAAGCAGGCGTGAGGGGTATACGAGGGTCAAGCAGACTGACAGCAGGTGTGGGCCGCAGGTATTGGCCAGGCAGTGGAGGGGTCGAGGTTGATGGAGGCCCAGAGAGTTTGGGGAGCCAACCCAAGCCCCCAGCCCCCAGCCCCCAGCCCCCACGAACTCCCACCAGCCCCCACCAGCTCCAACCAGCCCCCACCAGCCCCTAATGTCAAGCTCACTCACCTGATCGCTGCCAGAGCCTCTGCTTCCTCTGGCGCCAGGTCCTCCTCCTCGTCGTCCATCGCCTCGCCCCACTCGCCCTCACCAACGCCCTGCGCCTGCCGCTCCATCTCCCACTCCTCCCGCTCCAGATCCTCCAACCTCGCCAGGATATCCGCATCAACAAAATCCGCAATGTTCTTCCCGTCCATGATCTCCGGGACCTCGTCGTCTCTTCCCTTCCCACCAGCCCCCGGACTCCAACCCCACCAGAACCCCTAGCCCCAACCCCCAGACCCCAACCGTCAGCTCACCTGATAGCCGCGAGTGCCTCAGCCTCTTCTGGAGCCAAATCCTCTTCCTCATCATCCATCGCTTCGCCCCACTCGCCCTCACCGACCCCCTCCGCCTGCTGCTCCATCTCCCACTCCTCCCGCTCCAGCTCCTCCAACCTTGCCAGAATATCCGCATCCACGAAATCAGCAATGTTCTTCCCGTCCATGATCTCCGGCACAACATCATGCCGCCACGTGTCGTCGCCCAACAGGTACGGCCGCGTGTGGTCCGCCACGTACGCGCCCGCGCCGCCCATCTCCTCCTGGTAGTCCTTCTCCAGCTTGCGGCCTTCGGAGGGCTTGATGCCCTTGGCCTGCCGGTCCAGCACGGCTTGCGGGATGACTGGCGGGCGTGGTTTGTTGTCTCGTGGCCGCGGCATGGCCACGTGGATTCGATTCGCCACGTCCTCCACCCGCTTGCTGCGCATCTTGGCCTCCACACGCATCTGCAATGAAGTGGGAGAGGGGAGGACGGAAAGAGGCAAGGTTGGGAGAGGGGAGTGATAGAGCGAAAAGGGAAGGCCAGGTCAGAGCCGCCCGTCTCCTCTTGATAATTCTTCTCCAGCTTGTGCCCCTCGGAGGGTTTGATGCCAAATGACCGGTGGGCGCGGCTTGTTGCGCGGGCGCGGCATGGCCACGTGGATTCGGTTTGCCACGTCCTCGACCCTCTTGCTGCGCATCTGATATGAGGGATGGGGAGGGGAGGGGAGGTCACCGGAAAGGACGGGGCAAAGGAATGGTCGGCGGCGCCTGTTTGCAATGCAATAAAAAACAGCCGATTCCACACAGCACCCTAACAACATTATATCGTCCCACCCACCTGCAGCAGTCGTTCACATGCGGCGTTCTTAACAGCAGCGACATTAACGTCCGTCATGGTGAGCAGACAGACACCCGCACCCTCGCAGCACACATACGGCATGCAGCAGCACACCACCAGCACCATATCAGCATCCTACTCTGTCAACTTACCTGCAGCAGTCGTTCGCACGCGGCGTTCTTGACAGCAGCCACGTTGACATCAGTCATGGTGCTCATGGTGAGCAGACACCCCGCGCCCTCACCGTCCCCCATCACCGCCTCCATCGCCCCCTCCCCTCCCTCTGCAGCAGCAGGAGGAGGGGCAACGCCGGGGCCACCACACCGAGCTGCTTCAGCGGCCATGTCTTGGATGATCTTCCTGTCCGCTTCCGAGAGGGTTTCCAGTGGCTGTAGGTCCACCTTGTTGCACACCACCAGCAGCGGCTTGTTCAGGAAGAGGGGCTGTTTGTAACAAGGATAGGTTGAATGAATGAGGGGAGGGGGAAAGGGAGAAAACGGGGAAAGGGGGGGAAGGGGAGAGAAAATCAGGGGTTGGAATTGGAAGAAGCGGGAAGAGGGAACTCAACCCAAAAAAGAATGCACATCAAGCACAGAACAAAAAAGTGGGACTTGTCAACCTTGTTAAATTGACTGAGCCTGATACCTTGTCACCATGTTACCTCTTCTCAGCATGCCACTCACCTTAATGGAGTTGAAGAGAGCCGACTGCTGCTCCAGCGTGTACCCACAGCTACCAGACGCGTCCACCACAAACAGCACGGCAGCCCTCAGGTGCGCGAGGGCCGTGACGGCGAGCATCTCAATGGTGTTGCGCTCCTCCAGTGGGTGGTCCAGGATACCGGGCGTGTCGATCACCTGCGTTATCACAAGGAGAGGGCGGAAGGGGAGGCATTTAGAGGAAGGAAGCAGGGATGAGTCTCAGGGTGCGCCAGCGCCGTCACGGCGAGCATCTCAATGGTGTTGCGCTCCTCCAGTGGGTGGTCCAGGATACCGGGCGTGTCGATCACCTGTGAGAGAGAAGGTGAAGAGGGGGCGGGCCGTCACGGCGAGCATCTCAATAGTGTTGCATTCATCCAATGGGTGGGCCGAAGTACCGAGTGGCTTTTGAGAATTCTCAAAAACCAAAATACCGAGTGTGTCCATCGCCACTTGGCAAGAGAGACCGCAACAGGCAGAGGAAGGAGACCACCTGTTGTCGCCCGCCACGTCACCTTGCTGCTCACCACCCCAACTCACCCCTCCCCACCCCACCCCACCCCACCCCACCCCACCCCACCCCACCCCACCCCACCCCACCTCCCAGCGCTGGAAGCGGAGAGGATTAAGTACTTGTGTGTGCTGTGCTTCAACCTAAACCAACAATCACCTCAACAACCCACCCGCATCCCTTACCTCCCTGAAAACCTCACTCCCCCTCAAGCGCACCTGCCAGCGCAGGTACTTGTAATCCGTGTGGCTGACGAACAGCGACTTGGTGGCGAAGGCGTACGGCTGCACCTCTACGTCCGCGCCCGTCACCTCACCTCACCTTGTTGCTCACCCACCGCACCCCAATTTACCCCACACCATCCCATCCCATCCCACCCCACCGCACCGCTCCTATTCTCACCTGCCAGCGCAAATATTTGTAGTCGGTGTGGCCGACGAAGAGCGACTTGGTGGTGAATGCGTACGGCTGCACCTCCACGTTCGCGCGCGTCACCTCACCTTGCCCACCCCACCCCAATTTACCCCATACCATCCATCCCACCCCACCAAACCGCTTCCACTCTCACCTGCCAGCGCAAGTATTTGTAGTCGGTATGCCCGACGAAGAGCGACTTGGTGGTGAATGCGTACGGCTGCACCTCCACGTCCGCACGCGTCACCTTGTTCACAAACGAGCTCTTGCCCACGTTGGGATACCCGCACACCAGGATGGTGCGCGTGTTGGGATCGATGGACGGCAGACGCGACATGTGCTGCCGCACCTGGTGTGTAGGAAGGAAGGGAGAGAAACAAAGCAGGGAAAGGTTTGGAAAAGAACAAACGAGCTCGGGCCCACGCGCTCGTTCGAGAACCCACACTGAAGGATGCAGGGGAGAACCCTTCGACATGCGCCGCTGCTCGATTCTCTTTGCACCCGTAATTTCCTTGCTCCCACGCTCAGTCTTTCTCAAATACAACGAGTCCAGAGTCAAATCAAGGTGTGCGCCCCCTCCTCTGCTCCCTCCTTCCATCCCATTTTTAGCAGTATGGTACGCAACTGTCAACACGCCTGCTTGAGTCAACGCAGTCAACACACCTGCTCGAGTCAACGCAAACGCACCTGCTCGAGGTACGCGAGCGACGGGCCCTGCTTGCGCATGAGCGTGCACATGCGGCCGAGCGCGGCGCGCTTGAGCTGCTTGCAACGGTACAGCGAGTCGCCATACTTGAGCAACCGCACGTATTCCTTGGCGATGCGGTCGATGATTCCGCGCGCCACGTTCACCTGAAAAACAAGGAGGACAAAAAACGGCAACAAAAATGTTCGGGGATGAATGGGTGGACATATAACCTGACAATGAACCACGGGTTTGAGTATAACGGGTTTGAGTATCTTTCACATCCTTCACGAGCTACCAAGGACTGCCTACATCAGTAGATGCAGTGAATCTAGCCACTCACGCGCCTTGCATTCTACCGTTCCGTGCGTGAACCCCCCTCTCCCAAACCCTCCACCCCAAACCCCGGCGTGCTTGCTCCTTCTCATTTGCCCTCATCTCTCCATCCCACATTCCATTACCTGTCCGAGCGCGAGCTTGTAATGGTCCTTATCGTAGAGGACATTAAGGAGGTCTTTCCGTAAAACCCCCCTCCTCCCAATCCGCCCGAAACCACAGCGTGGTTCTACCTTCCTCCTTCCTCCTTCCTCTATCCCTTACCTGCCCGAGCGCGAGCTTGTAGTGATCCTTATCGTAGAGGACATTAAGGAGGTCGCCATAGAAGGGATGAATCTCCTCGAGCCGCGGAAAGTCGTCGAGAATAGTCGTGAGCTTGTCGTGAAACGTCTGCTGCGTGAACTTGACCTTGCGCATGTAGAACTGACGGATTCTGTTAACGGCGCTGCCCTTGTGGATCACCGTCGGCGTGCCGCGCTGCGTTTTGGACAGAACGATGTCGACAAAGTCCTTGGCGGTGGGGACCACCGTGATCCGCTTGAAATTGTACTGCACCATCGTGGCGGTCTAATAGGCCGGATCGGACGGACGAAAGAATGGTGTTCGAGACGCCTAAAAAGTCGATGGACGAGATTGACTGAACTTCTTTGGAACAATACCCACTCGGGTTAACAGACGGACGAGCGAGGAGGAAGAAAGAAGCAAAGCGAATAGACGAAGAAAATCCTGCGGCCTGGATGCTCGCGTTTCGCAGTTCACGAACTGCCTTTGCTGGAGCTTCCGCCGAGAGCAGCAGCAAACAGGCAGTGGTCTAGGGAAGGCCCGAAGGCCTGCGAGCAGAAAAGGAGCAACAAGGAGCTCGCTGGAAACCCTAAATGCTGAGCCCAAAGGAGTGAGCAGCCACAAACGCGTGCGTTCTGCATGGTTCGTTATAAGCGTGGTTGGCAAGTGAATAATATTAGAGGTGTGATTGGCAGGTGATCGATCCACAAACACATACGACCGTAATTTGTCATCAACTGGTACTGGCAGATCATGCATCCTATCTAACGTTACTGAATAATCATCATATATTGGCTAGCTTAGCGAGCGACCACAAGTTCTGCATGAGCCAGTAGAGAAGATTTAGGAAAGCACAATTGCAAAATTGGACACCCAAAAAAAAACTCCAGCAAAATCCAGCACACTAGTAGCCGCCTAACTAGACCGTGCCTGTACAAGCCCACCCACCTTGCTCCTCCCTTTAGAGCCACCTAAAGCACACGCATACGCCACGCTCTTCCCCCCACTAGTCACCATCACCACAACACTTCCACCCATCCCTCCTCTCACCTCCTCCTCCGCCCCACCTTTTCCCATCCGCCCTGGATTCACTCTCTCTGACCCGCCAGCCCCATCCGCCCCAGCAAACCCTGCAGCAAACCCCCTGGTCCCACTCTGGAAAAAACTTCCCATGCTGCTTGCATCAAAACCCGAGAGAATCGACACTACGACCGGTTCCGGCTGTGCGAACGCACCCTGCTGGCCAAACCCGCTCTGCTGCTGCTGACCAGGCACTGCAACCGGGACCGACCGAATCGGACTCCCCTCCGTCGTTGCGTTGTGTTCCAAGCTGCCGCTCACATCAACACTCCTCGTGCTGCTGGCGCTACCACTCCTCCCCTCTCCACTCAGCAACCCATCAGGGCTGGTGGCTGTCCTGGCGGATTCTTCAGTGGGAGGCAAGAGGGGAATGGCCTGGTTGGAGTCGGGCAGAGGAATGGCCCGCTTTGATGCCGGCAGCTCGTTCAAATACCGCCTCCGCAGGAACATGCGGCGGGACATCACCGGCACAGGCACAGGTGGGAGGGGCTCCTTGCTACCCTCTCCAGTGACCCTGCTGCTGCTGATTGTGGTGGTAGCCGTGGCGGAGTTGAGAGGCGACGAACCTGGAATGTGGCTCCCACTGCCTCTGCTTCTGTCTGTGGCACTGGAGTTTCCACCGTCGCTGCCTGCACAGCCACCAGATGAGTTCCTCTTGCTGCTGCTGCCCGCTGAGTGCGTCGTTGCCTCTCCTGCCCCATCCTGTGCCTCTCCCTCCTGCGCCGCTTGGGTTGGATGGGAGTCAAACCGGAAAAGCTCTGTGCATGTATGCGACTGAAACAGCGGGCCTGCACCAGAATTCACAGCACAGGAGAGAGGGCGGGGGGAGGGGAGGAAGGGGAGGAGGGCAACGGAGTGTGATTTAGAAATTAATCCACCATCCTACCAGGCGAAAGGATCCAAGAACTATAGAAAAGAAACATAACAAGGACGGGAAAATATATTGATCTTGGAATCAAGCAGAACAGAAACACTCAAGGCCATAACATGCCCATTTTGCAGAAACAAACCCTTGCGTAGCAGGTGCCTCCGCATCTCCCTCACCTGAGCTGTGCTGCAGCAGCCACTGCTGCTGATCCCACGGCAACGAACCCTCCACTGCTGCTGCTCCTGGTAGCGCACCCGCCACCCGACCACCGGCACCAACCCCAGCTCTCAGCCCCACAGAAGCACTGCCACCGCTGCCACCACTGCCACTCCCACTGACCCGCGGACCGTAAGTGCTATCACTGCTGCTGCCCAAGTGACTGGCACTGCTACCACTGCCACTCCTCCCACCTCTCCCACTAGCTGATAACTGGCTTCTGAGTGCACTTGCAGGTGACCACTGGCGCCACGGCACAAGGGCCTTGCCTGCCGCTCTCACTCTCTCTGCTGCCGCCCTGCCTTCCCTAGGCCTATCTGCTGTGGCCCTGTCTGCCGCAGCACTGTCTGCTGCAGCCCTGCCCGTTGTGAGATTGGGCACCTGGCCTCGTGACACTGCTGCGAAGGAGGGGAAGCGCTGCTGCTGCCTGTCAGCTGCGTGCTGCTCCATGCGAGCGCCCGCCACCACTTTCTCTCTCCACACTGGGTTCAACGCAGACGCGTGCACAGAAGACGAGTGCAGAGCAGACGAGTCCAGAGCAGGCGAGTGCAGAGCACGGCTCTGAAGCTGCTCTGCTACGCTCATGCTGCCATTACCCCTGCCCCTCCACCACATACCCAGTCCGTCCCCTCCCACAGTCTGAACTCCCGCTGGTCCCCCCTCCTCCTCCTCCCCAAGACCCAGCAGCACCCGCCCTCCAGGCCTCAACACCCCACCCCCTCCCAACCCGCCTCCCCACTCTCCCCGCTGCGCTACCCCTCCCCTCCCCTCGCCCCTCTGAGAGCCACCGCCCCACCAACGCCAGGCCCCCGCCAGATCCCAACTACCAGCCCCGCTGCCCTGCCAGTTCATGCCACTGCCCTGCCTGCTCATAACACTGCTCTGCCAGCCTGGCTGCGCCGGCGCCATGCCACGTGTCAGTTCGCCGCTGGGCGGCAGGAAAGGGCAGAGGATGAGGAGGAAACCGAACATGGCGAGGGCGAGAGCGGGTGCTTTAGCTGCGGAGACAGCACGGGATGGCGAAGAGGGTCTGCTAGGCCTGTTATCAGTTGCGCTAGGTGCAGTAACTCCAGCACCCGCAGCACCCGCAGTACCAGCAGCACCAGCCGCACCAGCAATATCCGCAGCACCCGCGGTAACCACACACGCATCCCCTTCCTTCTTCTGCTTCTTTGCGCCCCTGTCCTTCTCCCCACCGCCTGCCTTCGCGCCACTCCCCCCCGGCGCGCCTTTCTTCTTGCGCGCGGATTCCGGGCGGCTCACGTTCTTCAGCTTCGGAATCGGGACAGGCGGAGCGGGGGGGAACAAACCGCGCAAACCTAACGCACCGAGTGGTAACCCTACGCCCCCAATGCTTCCAATCCCAGCCAACCCTCCCAGGATCGGAGGGACAAGGCCTGGCGAGACTGCGCTAGGAGGCGCTACCGCGGCTGCTGCCGAACCTCCCCTTCTGCGTCTACCCGGGCCTCGTGCCGGGCCTGATGCGGCAATTGCCGAACCTAACGCACCCGCCGACCCTGCAGCAACTCCAGTTCCAGCTACTGCCGCGGCGGCGGCGGCGGAGGCGGCGGAAGCGGCGGAAGGGGAGGAGTAGAAGAAGGCGAGCTGGCGGCGCAGGCTGACGTTCTCCGCGGTGAGATGCGCGACGGCGGAGTTGAGCTCCGCCACTGCCGCGGACATGGTGCGGATCTGCGCCTCCAGCTCGTCCATGTAGTACTGCCGGGGGAAAGGGAGAAGATGGCGCAAGGGGGGAAAGATGGAAACGGGGGAAACGGGGAAGGAAAAAGAGGCGCAAAGGGGAAACGGGGAGGGGGAAAGGGGAAAAGGGTGGGTAAAGGGGAAGGGCGAAGGGAGTTGAGTTGGGATTCAAGCACAGAGGGACAAAACACCACGTTGATCGAATGCGACGCGAGGCCAATTACCTTCTTCCGTTGCCGCGACAGTTGCGCGCTTTCCCGGTTTCTGATCAACCTCGCCTCCCGCTTCTCCGTCTCCGGATCCCTCCCCTTCCCCTTCCCCTTCCCCTTCCCCTTCCCCTTCTCCCCCCTCCACGCCCGCATCCCCCTCGCTCGGCTCGCTGCCTGCATCTTCCGCCGCAGCGCCGCTCCCGCCACCAGCAACCGACCCCCGCGCCTCTGCTCCCCCGCTTTCGCACTCCTTTTGAACGTTCTCTGTGCCAGCACTTGCGGTTCCAGAGGAAAGGCCGCCGTTTGCAACCGCACACGTGGCAGCACCCTGTGGCGTGGGAACTTGGAAGGAGGCTGGCGAAGTCGTAGGGAGGGGGAGAGTCGGGTTCGAGCATGGAGCGGGATGGTAACCCGCTGATGCACCACCCACACATGCCGTATTCCCTTGCTGTTGCTGCTGCTGTTGCTGCTGCTGCTGCTTCTGTAACTGCTTCTGCTGCCGCTGCTGCCGGCGCTGCTGCTGCTTCTGCAAGCGATACTGTTGCTGCTGCTGCTGTTGCTGTTGGAAAGACGAACTCACGGACCCCGAAAAAGGCACACCCTGTAATGGAACACTTTGCATAGCGAAAGGGGCCGCCACGTGCTGCTGTTGCTGACCAAAAACCGTCTCCTGCTTCACCGTGCTCTCAGGAAACTGAGACGACGGAAGAATCCCGGGGTATAATCCGCCAGTGCTGGACACCCCGCTTATACTCGACGGAGGGATAGCGGTACACGACGGCGGCAGCAGCAGCAGCAGCAGCAGCATACGGAACTGCTGACATGGCACTTGACTGATGCCACGGACTCCCAACCTGGCTGCTCCCTTCCTTACAGGCACCGCTTCCAAAATCACCGCTTCTACAATCACCGCTCCTACAGTCACCACTGGCACAGTCGCCGTCGCTGCTGCCGTCGGCGCCATGGCTACCTCCTTGCACCAGATACGGCAGGCCGTGATCGTTGACGGAAGCTAACGGTTCGGGTGACGACCGGCCGCTAGGAGGCGTATCGACGAGCATCGACCCACCGGCTGTGCGAATATCGCCACCTTCATCGCAGAAAAGCGCGTCGGTTGTGTTTAACGGAAACGGTTCGCTAAACGGCCGGTTTCCGAGTTCCACATCGACTGCTGCTGCTGCTCCGTCCTGCGGTGTGGTAGTCTCGTTGCGGAACGGCTCTAGCATGTCGTTTGATAGGTTGGCAAAAGCTGATATGTCGATGTCCGTGAGAGGAACCGTTGATGAATCGAGTAAGAGCGACGCCCAGTCGTCGTCAATAAACGTGTTCTGTTCCTCCATGGCTGCGCTTGACTGAACGCGATCTGGCAAATCTGCCATCGAAACGCAGTCAACTCTCGCTTCCGACTGTACCGCAGCCATCACCATTAAAATAAACCAAGCATCACCTAAAAACCGCAACTAATCAAGGAAGCAGATTTGTGATTATAGTTCCCAAGAGTACAAAGCACACAGAGATGAAGAGGTGGAAATAAACGCTGATTGTAACTGAAATTCCCAAGGTCATCCAGAGAGATGCATCACAGATGAGCGAGCTGAGTGGAGCTTGGTGGCAGGCAGTGGCAGAAAACAGGAGGGGAGGAGATGGACGGACGGGTCAGGGAAAGTTGTCTTGCCTCGGTTGGCAAACGCGTTCAGGCTTGGTTTGGAGAATGACCGAGCCTGCGACTGGTAGCAGAGCACGCGGTCAGGGCGTGTAAGATCCCCGTGCACACAGAATCGGCCATCAAAATTAGGTGGCCGTAGCGAAAGTAACCATTTCGTGATCGGTTTGCGAATCTCGTCAATTTCAACCATCAAATTTGTGATTTGATGGCCGGAAAACTAGTCGACTCTTTTCCGACGCGTGGTCGACTTCAAATCGGCCATGCTGTCGACAGCAGCTGTCTACAGTGAGAAACGAAGTCGCATACGCTGCTACAGTGAAATTGCGACATCGTATTCATGTGTGCGACATCGTCGCACCAAGTCGTAAAAAAGGACAAACCAAAATCTTCCACCTCTGTTACAGCGGCCAGCAAAACCGTGTCAGATTTGGAGGCCACACTGAGTTGGCCGAAAATTTGTCGACCTGGTGACGACTAATCTGTCGACCTTCGCGAAAGCTTTGTCGACCAAAATGGTCGACAAAATTCAGCCAAAACGTGTGCACGGGGATCTTACACACCCTTAGGCATACCGACTTCCGCTGCATCGTGTGGCCGATTTTCGTGCAGCTCAATCGGACGAACACCGGCAGACCACATCATTTGACCAACCAGCTTCGCCTTCTCGTTCTCGTTCAACGGCTTCGCCTTCTCGCAGCTTCCACGCACAAACCGTCTGACACAGTGATCCAAACCACACAGGTGTGGTGGAGCAACCATCCGCTGGTCATCATCATCACCAGTTCGGCAGGGTTTGCCGCGGACGAAAGTTTCGTGGTTCGGTTTGTTTGCCAGGGAGGAGGAACTTCCGCCGCTAAATGGCTTTTCCGCCGGCCAACTGGCCGGCTCGGCAGCAGGTCAGGTAAAAGTGATTTATGTGGGGATCCGAACTGTATAATCAAATGTTGTTTTTTTTTCCGGTGGAAACGCGTTTCTCCATAACGCGCACAATTGGATTTCTCCAACTATTGGGCTAGTGCTGCTGACTGCGAAAATGGAATGGGATTTAGCAAAAACGGTAGTTCCACCGTCGACATCGGTAGGATTACTCCGAGTTAGAAATAACAAATTGCTAGAGTTGCCAATGAATTATATATTGTAGGAATACTGGCAGCAGCCACGTGGAATATCCCCGTACTGAGTGACTATATCGCGTGGGACTCAATGGGGTCCTCACAGCCGTCCGTGGTTGTTCCTCCTTCACCTTCTGAAAACCCTCCCCTATCGCCATATCTCGCTGCATTAGCTCTCTCGTCCCCCGTCCTGTCCGTTAACGACGAAGACGCTAATAGCGAGGACGGATCCACGTTCCTTTCCCCCGCTCTTGCTTCCCCTGCTGAGCCGATCTTCCGCTGCCGCTTCCGCACGCCGCTGTTCGGAAGCGTGGCGCTGGACGCGGTGCAGCGGGAGGTGCGCGGACGGCGCGAGCTTGCGGAGCGGGGAGCGCTGCAGGCGCAGGGGGAGCGAGGCCGGAAGAAGCAGGAGGGGAAGCAAGCAGCAGCGCAAGACAGGCGGAAGCCGGCGCAGGAAGGGGGAATGGGGAAGGGGAAAGACCAGCAGCGGCAGGGAGCGAAAGCAGAAGCGGAGGGGGAGGAGCCACCGCGCATCAGCCACGATCTCGCCATGTTTGTTGGAGGCCCAATCTGGGCCGTCGATTGGTGCCCTCTTTCTCGTTACAGTCACATCCAGTACCTCGCCGTCGCCTGTCACCCCCATCTGCGCCCGTTCTCCCCCATTGGCGTCCCCCTGTGCGGACCTGCGCTGGTGCAGGTGTGGGCGGTCAGACTGGCGGAGGGGGACGGGGAAGCGGAGGGGGGGGGCGTGGGGAAAGGAGAGGGAGAACGGGAAGGGGAGGGCGGAGAGGGGAATATGCCCTGGTGGATGCTGGCGAGTGGAAGGGGCAGAGGGAGAGGGGGGCGGAGGGGGAGAGGGGCGGGGAGGGGAGGAGAAAAGGGGAGAGGGCGAGGAAGAGGGAGGGGGAGGGGGAGGGGGAGGGGGAGGGGGAAAGGGAGGGGAAAGGATGGGGACGCTAAGAGCGGAGAAGGAGGAGGTGTTGGAGTGAGGAGGCAAGAAGCTGTTGGGAGGAGTATTGTGGGATTGAAACGGAAAGCCGGGGATGTGGGGCTCGGTTCACGAGGGTGGGAAGGGGTGGAATGGGATGGGAGAGAGAGGGAGGTGGAAGTGAGATGGGAGAGAGGCGTTAGCTGGAATACAGGCGAAGGGAGTGGGACTGGAGGAGGGAGAAAAGGAGAAGAAGAAGGAGGAAGGGGAGGGAGAGAAGAAGAGGCAGAAGGGAGGAGCGAGAGAGGAGGAGGCCCACAGGCCCAGATGGTTCTGGGGATCACGCATCAAGGCGGGCTCACTCGCTGTGCCAGGTGGCGGCCGCTGGTTGGTGAGCGAGAGGGCAAGGCAGGCCAAGGAGGAGAGGGCGGTAGTCTTGGGCTGCTGGCGGCGGCTCTGGGAGATGGCACTGTAGCAATGTGAGTTCTGGGAGTGCGAGGGATTTTAGAGTCAACTCAATAATCAGCATTGGGATAGGAGATGGAACCATGCCAGTGTGAGTTGCTGTGCGAGAGCGGGTTGTTTTGAAAGCAAATGTTACAGAAACGTCAGTACTGACGTTTTTGTGGCAGCGCGGCAATGTCAGCGGTAGTCTTGAGTTGCTGGCGGCTGCTCTGTGGGATGGCACCGTGACAATGTGAGTTGTGAGAGTGGGGGTGGTTGTTGAGAGAAGCGACCCAAAAGCCTTCCCTTTCCATCCTTTGCGCCTCTGGTTTTGCAGTCGTGTGTTCTTACATCCTCCCTTTTGTCATACATCCTCCCTTTTGTCATAGTGCTCGTCACTAAATGTGATGGCAGTAAGCCACTCTCATGTGTGTTTCTCCGCGTGACGCCCCTCCCCTGCTTCATGCTTCCCCACGGCAGCTATCACGTACCTCTTCCGCAGCAAGACAACACCCGGTGGCAAAGCAGCGAATCGCACCAGCAGAAGCAGCACCAAAATCACTTAAATCAGCAGCACGATCAGAAGATTGAGTCGACCCCATCGCTGCTCCAGCCTGCTCCGCACGGCCCTCTGCTCGCCCTGCAGCGTGTCTTTCAGTGGAAGTCCAATCCAGCACACGGCCCCACCAAGTAAGAATCTGGGAATGACCCATCATGGACAAGAAAATAAGAGGGTGTGATGTGACCCTGTGCATCAACACATCGACCCACTGGGCTGTAAAACGTCTCACTTTGAGGCGCCTCATAACTTGACCCAACCCAACGCATCGACTCACTGGTCATTTTCCCGTGGCAGCGCATAGCCCCACCAGCTGCTGCTATGTGCTGCTACCCGCATGTGTGCCCTCAAATGCGTGGCTCACCAAACACATCACAGCAAGCACAACGCAGCAAGCGCGTGGCTCTTGGCACATGGTAATCACTTTCTAGATTCTCAAAAAGTATCAAGGATCCGCTCCACACCCTCTCCCCATCCTCTCCACACCCTCTTCCCTCTCCACACCCTCTCCCCATCCTCTCCACACCCTCTTCCCTCTCCACACCCTCTCCCCATCCTCTCCTTCCAGGCTCCCCTGCGAGCTCGCGTGGAAGGTGGATTCAGCTTCACACACCTCATCATCATCTCCTGCCACACCGAGCTTCCCACATCGCTCCACCGACCTGCTTGCTGCCGGCTTCCAGGATGGTTCCGTCCGTAATGACCCTTCCTGCCTGCAACACTTGCCTCTTTTCCTCGTGGCTTGGTGTGGTCTGTGGGTTCTTATGGCACCAACTGGAGCTGAGACATCTTAATTCTTGTCCTTTAGTGGGGCAATGTTTCTCTTGTGATGTTGATTGTTTGTTGTTGTGGGAACCATTTGACGTCTTCCTCTAGTCAGCCATTGGGAATTCTAACATCCCAATGAAATCAAGTCTTTCTTTCTCAAGTTTCTGTTCCCCCCCTAAACATTCATCATTCTCTCAGTTTGATCTGCCACGATGCAATCGCAAGTTGTTCTCGGGCTTTGTGCGCTTGACTGTTTCACAGTTGCCCCTCTTTTGCAATTTCGTTTCCTTCTCGAACGTTGTTGCTGGTAGAGGTTGACAACTGGGGCTCCTATTGTGCTTGAACTCGCTTCAACTCGCCAGCCCTCCCTCTCCTCTCCTCTTCGCTCCCTCCCCTCTCCTCAGGTGCTTGTGTGGCGACTGCAGCTTGATCACCTTACATCCAATGAGCCAGCATCACCATCACCATCACCACCAGCAGCAGCACGAGCACCATCGGAAACCAAGCCACAGCCATCACTGGCACCCACTGCACCACCGCCCTTCTCACACAACCCCATCCTCTCCTTTCGTGCGGACTCATCTCTCATCCGCTCCCTCGCCTGGCTTCCCTCCCCCGTTCCATCTAAATCCAACCCGCCTTCTCTAACTCCCGCCAACATTCGCGAGGGGGGGGTAGAGGAGGAGGAGGAGTTGGGATCCGAAGAGGAGGGGGGTGGGGAGGAGACGGTGGATGAAGGGCAGGAGAGC